AAAACCTTGGAACTCCGTACCTGCATGGGAGACCCGGAAGAAGCTCTTGGCTCCTAGCTTTGGATCGGCTCAGCTCTGGTTGTTGTGGCCACTTGGGGAGTGAACCAGCAGATGGAAGATATTTCTCGCTGCCTTTCCTTGTCTCTGTAAATCTGCTTTTCCAATAAAAAAATTAATAAATCTTGAAAAAAAAAAAGAAGAAAGAAAGGTCCCATTGGTGTGGAAGGTTAGTGATGGTGCTTGGCTTAGTGGCTAGGCTGTCATTTGAGAAGCCCTTGTCCCATGTAAGAGGACCTGGGTATGAGCACCAGCTCCACTAACAATTGCAGCTTCCTGCTGTTGCACCCTGAGACACAGAAGGTCAGGGCACAAGCAGCTGGATTTCCTCCATGTGTGTGGGAGCCTCAGACTGAATTCCCTAGCTCCTAACTGTGCTTGGCTCAGCTGGCCCGTTGCAGGCATTTGGGCAAATGAACCAATAGATGAGATCTCTTTTTTGTTTGCTTTGAGATATCTCTATTAATCTCTTTGCCTCTTAAAATAAACAAATAAACAGATAAAGCTTTTAACTCTTATAAGCTTTAAAAATGTTAAAACCTTATATTTCTTAGAAGTCTATATGTTGGTGGGGATGCTGTGGCATTGCAGGCTCCACTTGCAGCACCAGCACCCTATATATGGGCCAGCTTGAGTCCCATCTGCTTTATTTCTTATCCAGCTTCCTGCTAGTAGACTAGGAAAGAAGGAGAGGAGGGTCCAAGTCCTTGAGTCCCACATTCATGTGGGAAACTGGGAGGAAACTCCTGGAACCTATCTTTGGATAGGTCCAGCTCTGGCAGTTACAACTGTCTGGGGAATGAACCAGTGAATGGAATATTTCTCTATCTCTCCTTCTCTCTGTATCTCTGCCTTTTAAATGAAAATAAATATTTTTTAAAAAAAGAAATATAAATGAGAAAAAAGGATACATGAAACTTGTTTTAAAATACTTTATCAGAGTCAAGCACGGTAGCCTAGTAGCTATACCTTGCACACACCAATATCCCACTGGGTGTTGTTTCATGTCCCAGCTGCTCCACTTCCCATCCAGCTCCCTGCTTGTGGCATGGGAAAGTAGTCGAAGACGACCTAAAGTCTTGGAACCCTACACCCATGTGGGAGACCCAGAGGAAGTTCCTGACTCCTGGCTTTGGACTGGCTCAACTGTGGCCATGGCAACCACTTGCGGAGTGAACCAGCTGACAGAAGATCTTTCTCATTGTCTCTCCTTCTCTTTGCAAACCTGCCTTTCCAATAAAAACAAATAAATCTTTAACAAAAATAATTCAGCAGAGGATTAAAAAACAAAATCACATGAAACTGACATGGCAAAATCTTGGTAATGTTTAATGGGATTATGGGAATTAATTTTAATCCATATCATTAGGGGTTTTTAACATTTTCATAATGATACAAATTTTGAAATATTTTAAAAGTCCTCGTTTCGAGAAGTAATACATGTAGTCTCACAGCAATCACGCAAGATAATCTAGGCAAGTAATATTCTATACAGCTCATCCCATTTTCTTTTTTTTTTTTAAGATTTATTTATTTTATTGGAAAGGCAGATATACAGAGAGGCGAGACAGAAAAATCTTCCGTCCGATAATCTACTTCCCAAGTGACCACAAAACTGCCGGTACTCACCGATCCGGAGCCAGGAGCTAGGAGCTCCTCCGGGTCTCCCACATGGGTGAAGAGTCCCAAGGCTTTGGGTCGTCCTTGACTGCTTTCCCAGGCCACAAGTAAGGAGCTGGATGGGCAGCGGGGCTGCTGGGAATAGAACCAGCGCCCCCATGGGATTCTGGCAGTTCAAGGCGAGGACTTTAGCAACTGTGCTATCATGCCAGGCCCTCATCCCATTTTCTAAGAATTCCAGTCAAATCTGATCCTATATTTTCATCATATTCTGCTCTTCTTATAATTTCCAACCAAATATTTGTTGAAACTTGTTACTTTAGGAAACTGCCATTTTATCAACCGTCTCCACCCACTTACATGTGAAGGTAATAAAGTCAATGAGCCATCAAAACATTACATCAGGTGAAAAGAATCCTGAACCAAAAGCTGACCTTCACATGACTTCATTTGTGTAAAGTCCAAAATGGGTAAATTCATAGAGACATAAAGCGGTAATGGGGTGGAACCACACTAACTGTACATGGGCACAGGCGAGCTTATTGGGAGAGCAGAGGCATGCTAAAATTGGATCGTGTGAACAGTTATACAACTGGGAAAATTACTACAAATCATTGCATTGTAAACAGGTGAATTTACACTGTGTAATTCTGTGAAGTTCTTGAAGGTTTATTTGATTTTACTTCACAGGCAGAGCGGGAGGGAGAGAGAAGCAGAGAGACAAAGAGGTCTTCCATTCACTTGGTTTGGTCTCCAAATAGCCCCAGTGGCTGCGGTTGGGTCAAGTTAAAGGCAGAGGCTAGGAATTCCACCCTGTCTCCTAGGTGGGTTTCAGGGGCCCAAGCCCTTGGGTCATTTTCTACGGCTTTCCCCCCTGTATTAGCAGGGAGCTAGATCAGAAGCAGAGCAAGTAGAACTTGAATCAGCCCCCCGACATGCGATGCCAGCACCACAGGCAATGGCCACCGCAAGGCTTTTAAACACACGTCAATCTGGGTGAGTCAGAATCTTCTTTTTACCATAGACAGGGCAGTAAAGCACTTTTTACCTTAACAAATTGTTGTGATTTCACAACAATATCAGCTTTTCAAATAAATTCTTAAGTTGAAAAAGATGATACTTCACATTGATTGAATAAAACTATTTTGAACGATTAACATATATCAATATGTAACTTTCCTTGATTTTTTTTTTAAGTGTGATACAAACCAGAAGTTTGAGGACACGCCAGCCCACGTCAGTTAGTCCGAGGTAATGAAACCTCAGTTTTGTGTGGTTGCAGTTTAATCTCAAGATCAGAAATGAAGATAAAACAGAATAATGTTAACGGAAATGCTTTACAGATTGCTAACGCTGTGCTAACAAAAGAGAAAGACTGGCTTACTTAGGCTACCTGCTATTTTGGTAAGGAGACATTCATACAACACGATGAGAGATGGAGACAGTGCAGGTGGGGCAGGAATCCTGTAACCAGCTGCTTTGCCTGCCTCTTCTCAGGTTACAGGATTTCTTCCCTCAGCACAGGCTCCCGAATTTACGCCTCCAGTGGGCCAGGAGCCAGCTCCTTATTCATCCTCAGGAAAGGTTCGGTTGCCCTTGTGCTTGTTGCTTCTCCCCCAAGTGAAGGTACTCTGTGAATACCCCCCACAGAATCAGGATCAAGTATCGCTTTGGCTGTATCCTGGCTGAAACGGGAAGGCAGCCTTGAAACTTTCTCAGATCCTAAGGGAGGAAAACACCCCCACAAGAGTATAACTTTCTACACTTCAGAATGGAAGACTGGGAAAAAAAATGCTCTTTTCATTCATACTTCCATTTTTAAACCCTCTCTTTTCACACCTCTTATTCTTTTCAAAAAAGCTAGCTCCAGGTACTCCACAATACTTGTGGGAAATGGAACAAGATAGATTTATTTTGGTGGGGAAAAAAAAAAGTCATACAGTTTTTCTTCATATGCATTTTTAAAAAATCCTTTGCACGCATGGATTTCAAATATCTAAATTCCACTACCACGAACCTTTAGAGGTCCTCTTATAGCTTTCAGTTTCTCAAAAACAAAACAAAGTATGGTCGCTGCGGTGTAAGCTTTATCTCCCTCGAAACAAGGTAGTCACTACAGTCGGCACAGTGACCAGGAACCGCCCTTCTGCTTTCAAGCCCCACGTAATCAAGCGTGGTTTGTGCTCCAGCCAAGTGGTCATGTTACCCGCTACTATTTGGCCTTCATCTAGCTAAGGAATACATGCATCTGGGGACTTGTGTCCAGGCAATCTTTCAGCTTGCAGTCCGTTTTTACAAAGGCCACAAAGAAGAAGAAAGCAAGCCATCAGGACAGGGCCCATATCTTGGTGCCTTCGGAGCATCCAGTGCTATCCCTTAGCTCTGTTTCACCTCCTGCCAAGGGTTTTCAAGAGTTTGCAGCTCATCTTTGCACGCACGGGCTAAAGTGCGTGGGGGAGAAGACACGGCACCGTGACAGATGACACAGCCTGAGTGACTGACGTCTGCCTTGGATGACCCAAGCGGACTCTCTCCATTCTAAATTCCTTAGCGACAGGGAGCCAAAGCCCTCGCCCCCTCACCTCCGTCCCACCCCCGCAGGCCAAGTGAGAACTGTTCCAACGCGGATGAAGGACCCGGGCTGACGGAGGAGGAAGGACGCCGTCATCCCTCGCGGCTGCGGGTTCTGCCCCCACCCCGCAGCCAGCGTTTTACTCGCGCTCTAACTCAAACAGAAATGCGCCTGTTCGCAGGGCTTCCTTGAGACTTTTGCGGGGTAGTTGCGTGGACTCACCCGAGTCTCCCTAGTAAATAACAAGAGAAAGCGAAAGTACTTCGGAAAACAGCGAGCCGACGACACACAGGCACGCATTGTTCTTGGCCCGTCTCCCGACCCGTAGCCGCGCCCTATTACGCCTGCGTAGCTGACTGGCCTATAAAAGGCCGGCTCGCGGCGTCTCTCCGCCAGCGGCTCTTCCTGTTTGCTGCGCTCGCCTTGGCTCCGCGGCGGCCGCGAACATGGCGTCCACCAGCCGGTGAGTAGGTTCTGCCGAGCCCGGGGCGGCTTCCGGGGGGCGTTGGCGTCGGGTGGAGCTGGGGAGAGGCGGCGGGGACCGACTGGGCGGCCCGGGCGGCGGCGTGGCGGCTGGTGAGGGGACTGTCACGGGGGTCGTGAGGGGACCGAGCCGTCAGCGTTGGCGCCCGGGCATCCGGCTGCGCCGCCCCGGGAGCCCCACTGCCTTCCCCTCGCGTCCTGTGCGAATATTTCAGCCGTCATCTTTTTTTTTTTTTCCCCTGGTTAGTTTTTTAGTTTTCTTTCTGCGCTCTTTTTTTTTTTTTTTCCCCAATCCACGGCCCAACCGGCCGCAGAGTCCACACTTCCTCTCTCCCAAGCTCGTGTTGATGTGACGGCTCGGACGAGGGGAGCGTCCTCGTGCATAAGCCGATGCCATCCCCGCGGCCCTGCCCGGGATGAGCCGGGCGCTGGAGGAGCCCGCCGCCGGGGGCTTGCGCTTGCCGACACGTTGCGGCCTGCGTATTCCCGAAGAACATCTGGCCTGCAAGATAGCGTAGAGGAGATGCTTCTTAATATATTTTGAAATCGTGCTCCTGTCTACAGGAAATGCACGCAGTGCCCTCCGAGGCAGCCTTTAATCCTGTGACCTGAAGAATGCTTGCAGACCCTAATTATGTCTCTCATGACTCTGCTAGATACTGGTATTTTCGTGTGAGTGTAAGCTGAATCATGCCAGTGTTGCCTTTTTCCAAGGTTAGTGAAAGAGTGTAAGTCGGCGATTCCTGTTTCCTGTTATGCCGCACGACTGGCCTCTGCCTAACTCAGTGGATTAAAACTATCAGTTTAAGTGCTGCGGCGTCCAGGAGGCAGCACCTGCCGTTTTTCTGAACCCATTGTCGTGTGTGTGGAGTTGACGAGTTTCATCGGGGGGGAACCATTGCTCACAAAATAAGCTGCAAAGCCGAGGCCCTTTATGGTAACTGCCAACATGGATGCATGTTCTGGTGGCGAAAGGTGGAGCGAGGAGGACAGTTTCTGCTGATGTCTGTTTGGTAATAACTCCGAGGCAGTGACACCCTTGTTTACTGATTATAATTCTGTGGATGCTCCATCATGATGCGTGGGTGTGGTTCTGTCAGGTAAGGCTTCCTTGCAGATAAGTGGAAAACTTCAGCTTCCCTAAGTGAGGAGGCTTCAGTTCTCTCAGGACCATACGTATGAGAAGTAGATAGGTTTAGTCATTACTTTTACATATACTACAGCAGGGCTGTAGTATATGTAAAATACTGTAAAATAATAGTAATGATAATAATAATAGATGGTACACAAAATGTAGTCATTAAACACAATGTTTAAATTTTTCTGGACGTACCAACTCCTGAATTAATGTCACTGCGGCTGATTCATCTCTCATGTTCTACTAGTGGAGCAGAGCGACTTAGTATTTCTTCCTTTTTCGCCCCTCCATCCTCACACCAGGCTGACATACAGGCAGTCGAACTGCCAGGTGTTCTCAGTTGAGAACCTAGGTTCTACCACTTTGTGACTTCAGGCAAGTCATCTTTTTGTTTTGTTTTGTATTTAATTTGCAAGGCAGGGATTATTTAGGAAAAGGGGGAAAAGAGTATATGCCAAAGTGGCAGGAGGGGGTTCCAAGGAAGTCCTTAGGTAATGTGGAAATGGTGTCTATGCACCATCTTGGGAATTGCTTGAAAGACAAAAAAGGAAAAAAAAAAAAAACACCTCACAATTAGCAGCAACATCTATCACCTGGTCCAGAGCTGAAGGGCTTCGGAAGGGTGGGGCTGGTGGTGACTTCTTCCTCCTGTCCTGTGGAGAAGCTGATGACTTCTTCCTCCTGTCCTGTGGAGAAGCTGAGCACTCCACTACCCAGAGTGTAGTGTGGGCCACTTCTCCTTGCTGCAAGTCGTCCTGTTTAAAATGGACAGTATGTGCCTGTTTTGTGGGATGGTGGAAAAGGTTGATGATATTCATTGTGCGGCACTAGGAGATTAGTGATAGCTGTAACATGAAATTTGAAATTATATGGTGCCGTAGGTCATCTAAATATTGCTTTAATGTCTTTGGAGATGGTCTCCATTTTTTTGCTTATTGTTTCTCTTTCATTCCCACCTCTATTTGTGTTTTTACTTTTGTATGTTTGAAGGTAATTTAAAGTTGGTTGCTTTAGTATGATTTCATTTTACATTGCCAGATGACACAAACGGTACAGAAGCAAAGTACAAAAGACTGAAAGGTGGCAGGCAGTCTCACTTTTTCCATAGCTCCCGACATCTGATTCTCCCCGGAGCGTCCATTGTTACTAGGGAAGTGTGCTTTCTTAGTGATTTTGTTTTTAAGAAACGTATAGTTTGGATCTCTTTGCTTTCAGATGTAGTCTACTATAAACTGTTTCCATTTTCCTTTTTATGAATTTAGCACACAAATTTCCAGTACACAGCTGAATGACACAGTGAGGACGTACATGTGGCTCTACGCAGGTCAAGAAATGAGATATTCCCAGAGCACCAGCCAGGACAGTAACAGAGTCTCCTCTGTGTCCCATGCCTTCCCAGAAAGATCCTTGTCCTAACACTGTGCGTTTGTCTTGCCCCTTTAAATTTACGTAGATGACATAAATATTCTGCTGTGAAAATATTTTACTTAAGGAATATATGACATGAGCTGAATTTTAAGTCTCCATATCCTGTTTTTTGATACAAGACCTGTTTTGGTTATCTTTGCTATTTAAATGTGGGGGATATGGCCCCCCCCTTCCCTGTTTTATAGTAGAGATCACCTTCAGAGTTACTCTGATTTACATTTGAAAGTCCAAAAGAGTGTTTCTCCACAACCACAAGTATCCTGGTTGTATACTACAAGAACAATGAATCTAGTCTTCCATATGTATTTTAATGGTAGCTGTAACAAGCATTTTCTATATTACTATTTTGAAAATTCCTTTTTTTTTTTAAAGATTTATCTTGCTTGAAGGAGTTAATAGAGGGAGAGACAGAGAGACCTTTCATCTGCTGTTTGACTTACCAAGAGGCCACAACAACCACAGCTGGGCCTGTCTGAAGTTGGGACCCAGGGGCTTCTTCCAGGATTCCCACGAGTGCAGGGGCTCAAGCACCTGAGCCATCCTCCGCTGCCTTTCCGGGCCCTAAGCAGGGAGCTGGATAGAAGTGGAGCAATTGGACATGAGTTGGTGTCTGTATGAGATGTTGGTGCCTCAGGGAGAGGATTTAGCTCACCATGCTGGCTTCTGTGTTGTTTATTATTATATTTATTAGCCTTTTTTGTTTGCAGGATAGAATTAATCACTTTCCATAGGCCTGCAGAGGCCAGGGTTGGACCAGGCCAAAGGCGGGAGCTTCATCCAGGTTCCCACGTGGGTGCAGAGGCCCAAAAACTTGGATCAGCTTCTGCTGCTTTGTCAAGCACAATAGCAGAAAGCTGAACTGGAAGTGGAATAGATGGGACCCGAGTTCTTACCCCCATGAGAGTTCAGCATTGCAGGCAGCAACTTAACTCGCTGTGCCATGCAAGTCCCTATGTTCTTGTTTAAGATAAAATTAATTGAACAAGTTGTTAATATTAAAAAGTTACTTTTGAAGCTGTTTCTTGAATGAGTGATAAAATGGCAGTTCTAGACTCAGTGAAGTTGTCAGATCTTAAGAACCATAGGTACTCTTCACGTACTGGTTTCAATGTATTATTCTGATTAAGTTATTGATGAGACAAGTGGAAAAATACAGACTTGAAACTTACTCTCCTACAGGAGAAGTTGCAAAGGACACAAACCAGATGTCTGTGTAATTGACACAAGCTGTGATGATATCTAGTAATTACTAATTAAGATTTTTTAAAAACTTGCTAGTCTATATGTTAAGGGGTGGGGGGAAACTTATTTCAAGTTTTTAAACTCTTGCATGTTTGCACACCAGTAACTGTTTAAAAATTTTTTTCTGAATAAGTTACTCCTCACTGGAGTATTGAAGATTTCTCTGCACACCCCCTCCTAAAACTGTTCTGTGCCTCAACTGTTGACATATGCCTTGTTAAAGTTACAAGCCAGTTTGGACTACCCTAAAATCTGCCAAGTTCAGTAAAAATTATGCTTCAATACAATAAACTGCTAAATACAAAAATGAAAATAGACACGAGACAGCTGAATAGTATCCTATAGCCATTTTAAGGTGGATAGAAGCTGGTTGTATATAAACTAAAATTGAAGTGTCAGTGACGCAGTCACAAGATTTGATTAAGAATTTGCATATTCTAACATATCAGTCACTCAATACCATGTCAATTAACTCCATAATGTTGTAAACTGTTATCGATGTTATGTTATGGCTTTTAATTGGTCGGGACAATATTCTGCCAGCTCTGTTTTTAGACCAGAGATGGTCTCCCCAAAAAACTGTTGAATTGGTCTGGACAATAAAATGCTGGACTCTGTTTGGTACATGCTTGCACTGAAAGAAGCATGGCTGGATTTGAACTGTAATACTGCAATAAGGTGGAATAATCCACCATGGGGGAGGGGTTAGGGGAACCTCAGAGCCTATGAAACGATGTCATAAAATGAAATGTAATAAAAACTAAGGAAAAAATAAAATAAAAACAATTACCCAAGAGGTTTTTTTTTTTTGAAAAAGAAATATTTTTCTGGGCTCAGTGGTAGAAATCTTTGTTTTGCATGTGCCAGGATCCCACGTGGGTGCCATTTCATGTCCCAACTGCTCCATTTCCCATCCAGCTCGCTGCTTGTGGCCTGGGAAAGCAGTACAGGATGGCCTAAAGCCTTGGGTCCCTGCACCCACATGAGAGACCCAAATAAGGCTTCTTGTTCCTGGCTTTGGATTGGCTTAGTTCCAACTGTTGCAGCTACTTGGGGAGTGAACCAGCAGACGGAAGATCTCTCCTCTCTGTAAATCTGCCTTTCCAATAAAAATAAATTTGAAAAAAAAAATTGCTGTGGGCAGATATTTAGCATGGTGGTTAAGATGCCCATGTCTCATCCTGTGTTGGAGTAACTGCGTTTAGTACCTGGCTGGCTCCTGACTTCAGCTTCCTGCTAATGGAGCTCCTGAGAGGCCTCAGGGATTACTCAGGTGATTTCTGCCACCCACAGCAGAGACCAGAAGCTCTCAGCTTCAGCCTAGCCATTAGCTCTTGGGGAGTGACTCAGGAATGGAAGTACTCTACCATTCTGCCTTTCAAATACAGTTTAAAAATATATATTTTTAGGTATTATTTTTATTGGAAATTTAGATTTACAAAGAGGAGAGATTTACATGAAGAACGAGAGACAGAGATCTTCCATTTGCTGGTTCACTCTGCAAGTGGCCACAATGGCTGGAACTGAGCTGATCCAAACCCAGGAGCTTCCTCCAAGTTTCCCCCGCGGATACAGGGTTCCAAAGCTTTGGGTCATTCTCTAATGGTTTGCCAGTGCACAAGCAGAGAGATGGGTGGGAAGTGGAGCAGCTGGGCCACAAACCAGCGCCCATATGGGATCCTGGCACATGTAAGGTGAGGATTTAGCCAATAGGGTATTGTGCTGGGTCCAGAATTCATTTTTTAATAACTAAATATAGTAATAATTCCAATGGAGTCTACTCTTTAGTACTTAATGGAATTTAACGGAGATGTTTGCTTTGAATAATCTGGTTAATATACAATCTTAAAAAAGTATTAAGTACATAAAAGCAGGATGAATGCCGGCTGGCTGGCCTTTGCCTCAGCACCCACTTGCAAGTGCCAGGGCTAGATGCAAGTCAGGTCAGGCTGGACCACTGTATTCCATGGCAAGCACAAGATCTGGGGCTGGAAATAGGCTTAGTAGGAAAGTGGTGGGCACTGCTGCTAGGCTGCAGCTCCCCCTGGTGAGCGTGAGAGCTAGGGCTTGGGGTGGACCAGGCTGGACCAAGGCAGCAACACCCAACATTCATGGATGTGTATGACAGCTTGATGGAGTCAGAGGGGCTGGACTATTCTCTTGCACACACTAGCACGCACAGGAACCTAGGGCTGGAGATGGACTTGGTTGGAGTTATTAGGTTGCCCTGACTAGGCTGTAGTTCCTGCTAGTGTGCATAAGGGCTGGGTTTCTGACAGGCTGGATTGGGTTCGGCCACAGTGTAGGAGATGTAGTGGAATTGACCAGGGACCTGCATTCACCAATATATGTAGATTGATGCTGGTGTTGAACTAAACTGGACCCTGTACTAGCTGGCACACAGAAGAGTCCCGTTTGTAGTCACCGTAGGCAAGGTTTCTTGGAGAACTCTCCACCTAGGCTGCTGGACTCAAACTTCAGCCACAGGAAAAAATCAGAAAATACATGGTCTAACGTTGGAACACATGTTGGGACTGGAGCATTGAACAGCATGCCAGGAAGAACACTGGGACTTGACAGCTACATCATGTAGGCCAGCGCAAGCAGGACTTGTGTGCTTTGCTGGGGGGTAGAAAGTAGAATAGATTTGACAAAACTCCTGGCCTGGCTTTGACAGCAGGTGTCTGGGTGTGTGGATGCACCAGGATGAACTTGGTCAGCCAGTGAACCTTGGAAACATTTTCTCAACCCTGGAACAGTGAAGTCAGCTGCTATCTCAGAACTGTCAGCACCAATCGAGTAACACCCTTGGAACATTCTTCCCCAAATCCAAGATCTCTAAGATGACATCAGATGGTCTTCTCCATTCATGGGTGCTGATGCAGTTTGGCAGCAAGGAGCAGCCCCCTTCTCTCTCACTTTTCCCAACCCCACTTCCACCACAGATAAAAGAAAGAAAAAATTGGAAACATTTGCCCCACCTTCTTCCATACCTCAGCCCTCCCCAACTGAATCAGTGGCCCAAAGTGGCATACTTCCTTCTAGACTGTGTAAACAACATTCAGAATAAAGTTAAAGTGTTCAGACTTCCCCTTTTATTGTTTTGGTACATGTTGGGAAGATATATATATATATATATAAATGTGTGTGTGTATTTGTTTGTTTTTAATTTAGTTTGGATGCTCTTCCAAGAGTCACATGTCCAAACCATCCAGATGCGATTTTAGTGGAGGACTACAGAGCTGGTGATATGATCTGTCCTGAATGTGGCCTGGTTGTAGGTGAGTAATTATTATGTGTGCAATGTGAATCCCTATAGTGCTTTGCTAAACATTTGTTTGTTTTTATTTGAAAGGTAGATTTAGAGAGAAGGAGAGACAGAGATCTTCATCTGCTGGTTCACTCCCCAAATGACAATAGTCAGAGCTCAGCCAGTCTGAAGCCAGGAACCTGGAGCCTCTTCCAAGTCTCCCATGTGGATTCAGGAGCCCATCTTCCACTGCTTTCCCAGCAGAATAGCAGGGAGGTGGATCAGAAGTGGAGCAGCAGGGACTTGAAACTGACCGTAGGGAATGCCGGCAGCACAGGCAGAGGTTTAACTACTATGCCAAAGCAGTAGCAGCTATTGTGGTATATTTTCTTTCTTTATTTTGTTTTGTTTTGTTTTGTTTTAAGATTTATTTATTTTTATTACAAAGTCAGATATACAGAGAGGAGGAGAGACAGAGAGGAAGAACTTCCGTCCGATGATTCACTCCCCAAGTGAGTGCAACAGCCGGTGCTGTGCCGATCCGAAGCCGGGAACCAGGAACCTCTTCTGGGTCTCCCACACGGTTGCAGGGTCCCAAGGCTTTGGGCCATCCTCGACTGCTTTCCCAGGCCACAAGCAGGGAGCTGGGTTGGGAAGTGGAGCTGCAGGGATTAGAACCGGTGCCCATATGGGATCCCGGGGCGCATTCAAGGCGAGGACTTTAGCCGCTAGGCCACGCTGCTGGGCCCTCTTAATTTTTTTTAATATTTATTTTATTTTTATTGGAATGGCCGATTTAAAGAGAGAAAGGGAGAGAAAGATTTTCCATCTGCTGGTTCACTCACCAAGTAACTGCAACGGCTGGAGCTGAGCTGATCCAAAGCTAGGATCCAGGACCTTCTTCTAGGTCTCCCATATGGGTTCAGGTGTCCAAGGTTTTGGGCCATTCTCTGCTGCTTTCCCAGACCACAAGCAGGGAGCTGGTTGGGAGGTGAAGCAGCTGGGACCAAACTGGTGCCCATGTGGGATGCTGACACATGCAAGGTGAGGATTTGATCCTTGAGCCATTGCTCTAGGCGCTGTGATATGTTTTCTAAATTATTTTGCAACGTGCAGCTTCTGACTTTTCTTCACCTACAAGTAATTTATATTAGAAAAAGAAATAAAACCAGAAATAAGAGCAAAGTCATCTGGAGATACCAGGTTTTGTTGTATTTCTGATGCATATTTTATAATAAGGATGGAAGCTAATTAGAAAGATGCAAAAAGACTCACAGTTAACTTGCTGAGTCCTTAGTTTATTTGCTGGAGGGTGGAGAGAAAGGAATACTATATATACTAAGTAGTGAATAAATAAAATAGGCCCTAATTCCATATTTCATGCACATTTTAAAACTTCATTTATTTGCAAAATAGAAAGCTGTGGTCTACTGACTTACTTTCCAGATGTCAGCAGTGGCTAGGACTGGGCCAACCAGAACCTGGGAGCTCAGTCTAGGTATCCGGTGAGGGTAGCAGGAATCTAATTCCTTGAGTCATCACCTGATGCCTCCCAGGGGACAATTAGCAGGAAGCTGGAATTGAAAGATGAGCTGGGACATCATTCCAGGTCCCCTTGAATGCTGGCCTAGTGCTTGTGCTTCTACACGCTTTTTAAAATTTTCTCATATATGCTATTTTGAAATAGGATTATCTGCTTAAGAATCTCTGACATTAAATTGTTGTCCAAAAATAACACTTCTTCAAATTTTGGTTTTACTACTACATGCTCAGTATTCTAGAAATGAGAGATTTTAAAATAAATTTATTTTCATGAATTTTTTTAAAGATTTATTTATCTATTTGGAATTTAGAGACAGAATTCACTGAGTGCTAGTTCATTCCTCAGACGGCCACAGTGACTGACCGGCTGGCTGGGTCAGTCCAGAGCCAGGATCCGGGAGCTTTGTCTGGGTTTCTTAGATCTACTGCCTTTCCAGGAGCGTCAGCTGGAAGTGCGTCAGCATCTATGTTACTCTGCCTTTCAACTAAAAGTTGGATCAGATGTGGAGCAGCCACGACACAAACTGGCACCCATTTGGATGTTGGCTTGACGCGGGCACTTCACCTGCCACTCTACAGGGCCTATTCCTCTGATTATTTTTATAGTGACACTGCAGCCAGCACTTGAGCGGATGATCCTTAGCATTTGAATTTCTTAGCAATGGAAACATTCAGAGTTACTATAGGAATTGAGTTCTACTTGCCATTATAATCTTCTAAGAAGGCAATTTTTTTGTTAAGGTTTATTTATTTTTGTTGGAAAGTCAGATATATAGAGAGGAGGAGAGACAGACAGCAGGAAAGACAGAAAGATCTTCCATCCATTGATTCATGCCCCAAGTGACCACAACAGCTGGAGCTGAGCCAATCTGCAGCCAGGAGCTGGGAGCTTCTTCCAGGTCTCCCACGTGGGTCCAGAATCCCAAGGTCTTGGGCCATCCTCGACTGTTTTCCCAGGCCACAAGCAGGGAGCTGGATGGAAAGCAGGGCTGCCGGGATTAGAACTGGTGCCCATATGGGATCCCTGTGTGTTCAAGGAGAGGAATCAGCTGCTACGTCACCGTACCGAGCTATAAATAAGCAGTTTTAAAAATTGAATTATTTTCTATTGGCAAGGCAGATTACAAAGAGAAGGAGAAGCAGAAAGGTCTTCCATGCGCTGGTTCACTGCTCAGGCTAAGCCAATTCAAAGCCGGGAACTGTTTCTGGGTCTCTCACATGGATGCAGGGTGCTGGGCTGTTCTCTACTGCTCTCCCAGGACACAAACTGCTGCCCATGTGGGATCCTGGCACTTGAAAGGGAATGATTAGCCAGTCGAGCCATTGCACTGGGCCCTTGGATAAGCAATTTTAACAGATGGCACACTCTTGTATATATTAGTCATTATTCTAAAAAGTTTATATATTCAAATGGTTTATCCTCTCCGTAAATCCATGAAGTAAACTAACCATCTTCACTCTGATAGAGAAGCTGGGGTTTAGATGGCTTGGTAATCCAGTTCCGTTATGTGATGTGCAAGTCTTTCATGATAAAATGATTTCAAGGGCAGATACTTGGTGCCGCAGTAGAGACTACCTGGGCACCTAGCCTCTCATACTGCAGGTGCCTGGGTTCAGATGTGTAGCCTGGAGGGCAGCTGGTGATATCTCAAATACTTGGGTTTCCTGCCACCCATGTTTCAAGCCCAGTTGGAATTCCAGATCCTTAGTTTTGGCCTGACCCATTCCCATCTATTGCAGTCTCTAAGGGAATGACCCAGCAAATGGAGCATCTGTGTCACTCTGCCTTTCAGCTAAAATAAAGAAGTAAGCAAAACTTGAAGTTATTTTAGTTGCAGATATTAGGGCTAGTCATTGAAATATCTGTGTACAATATTGAAGTATCTGGGTTCAGGTGTCTCCTCAGGCTCCTGGCCCCAGACTCTTAAGAGGCAGTAGATAATGGCTCAATTTCTTGAGTCCCTGTCACTCAGGAGACCTAGATTTACCTAGCTTTGACCTGGCTGTTGAGCATTTGTGAGGAGAAACAGTGCATAGGAAGCTCCAACATCTCCAATTTGTTTGTGTTAAGATTTTTTTTTTTTTTAATTGGAAAGCTAGATATACAGAGAGGAAGATTTTCTGTCCGCTGATTCATTCCCCAAGAGGCCACAATGGCCAGAGCTGAACTGATCTGAAATCAGGAATGAACATCTTCTTCCAGGTCTCCCACACTGGTGCAGGATCCTAGGCTTTAGGGCAACCTGGACTGCTTTCCCAGGCCATAGGCAGGGGTGTGGATGGGAAGCTGGGCCTCCAGGATTAGAATCGGCGCCCATATGGAATGCTGACATATGTAAGGCAAGGATTTTAGCCATTAGGCTACCAAGCCGGCTCCCTGCTCCCGCCCCCCCTTTTTAAATGATTTTAAAGAGATTTCAGTCCAGGTTAGGCAAGCTACTATCCAGTGCTTGTTTTCATATTTCCTGCATGCTAAGATTAGGTTTTGACATTTTGTTTTAAAGTTTATTTTTAATGGAAAGGCAGATCAGATTTACAGAGAGGAGACAAAAATCTCTTCTCTCTGCTGGTTCACTCCCTAAGTAGCAACAGTGACCGGAACTTAGCGGGTCCGAAGCCAGGAGCCTTCTTTGTGTTCCCCAAAATTTTGGGCTGTCCCCGACTGCTTTCCCAGACCATAAGCAGGGAACTAGATGGGAAGTGGAACAGCTGGAACACTAGCTAGTGTCCATATAAGATGTCAACACTTTCAAGATGAGGATTTAGTCAGTTGAGCAAGCCATCAGACTGGACCCTGCATTTTGAAATGGTTGGAAAAAATCAGAAGTACTTTAGGACATGTGCAAACGGGATCAAATTCAAATTGTAGTATTTGTAAGTTTTTTATTGCAACCCAGCCACACATACTTGTTCATATGTCTTTGGTGACTTTCACACTTGTACCGCAGTTTAGAAAATGTAGGTAATGCTTATGTTATTTGATTCAGTTGTTGGTGTACTGCACAAAGTGAACTTTCAATTCTATTCTTTTAAGATACAGTGGATTGTGGATTATTATGGTCCTCACCTTGCAAACACCGGGATCCTATATGGGCGCCAGTTCTAATCCTGGTGACCTTGCTTTCCCATCCAGCTCCCTGCTTGTGGCCTGGGAAAGGTTGAGGGTGGCCCAATGTTGCCAGCCAGCAGCCACATTACCTACGAGGCACCCTCAAGAGGGTCTGGGAAAAGCCAGAACCGCAACTGGACCCCTTATTGCCAAAAGCGGCTGTGTTTATACCCTTCTCTCTGCTGCCTTTTTCCCCGTTGGTCTTAATCTTTTCTCCCTGCTTTTTTGTACCCCTCTCTGCTGCCCCGTTCTTCTCCCCATCCTTCTCCTCATTCATCATTCTATTCCCCGTCCTTCTCCTCGTCCCGTACACCTAAGCTTTTCCACCCCTCTCTGCTGCCCCGTTCTTCTCCTTCCGTCCGTCGTTCTCCTCATCTTCC